ATATAGTTTTCTTGGTTCTAGTGTAGAGAGAAGACAAATGACAAGAATTCGAACCGTACGTATATTGTAAGCTCATTATAGACATGTAGACTCAAGCGCACATGTGAAATATTGCACAAAAGGCAACTGCAGGCGTCGGAGGCTAGACAGGCTTGCACAACATCATGTCACCATCATCACACAAATCCATCAAGCCAGACAATTTTACGCCATCAACTTCACACAGCTCTACAATCATAGTGTGCCTATGCATGTGGGGAAAATAGCGACTGAATGAGTGTTGAGCAGGACATCGGCCACCAGATTCGAGCCGTGCTGAGTCTGGCTGGGCGGCAACATCGGCGTCCAAAGGCTCGGCCGGTAGAGTTCGGCTTCTCCCTTGACGCCGATCGACGAGTTCAATTGATTCTTCATGAAAACGATCTGCGGTTGGATACCATACCGTTAAGGGACGTGCTGGTGTGTCGTGGAGGCATGTGTTTAGCAGACAATTGTTCCTTTTTTTGAGTCTGGGACGGTACCATTAGCATTGTTGCCATGGACTCGGGAAGAGGAGTGCTCCTCTGAGTCTCCATGACAATGCGGGCATGCTGCGAAGACAGGGTCAAACAGCTTATATACTTTTTTTCGTTTATAAGTAGGCTTTCGAGACTGCCGGTAGATCATTAGCTGACATGTATTCGGCCTATTTCGTTTGACGTGATAGTCGCATTTTTTCACAATCCGTAGACCCTAAGTTTCTCTTCGATTTTGCACAGCCCTGCTTTCCCAAAAGGTATTCTCCTCCTGGCAAAAGAGTTGCTAAAACATATCTTTAGAAGGATTCTTTGCGGTTGAGGGACGTTTCAGTCTGCGATGATGGCATGTTCTTGTAGGCTGAGACTGTAGTGGATTTTACTCTGCAGTCTGTATGGTTGCATATCTCGTGGCAATCAGCCTGTAAGTAGTTATCGCTCAACTCATGCAACGCTGCCCTATTTTTCGTTTTTAAGTAGGCTGCCGGTACATGGCATTTATGAAATATATTAATCATAGTTCGGTGTAGATTGTACGCATTCAATGCATTTCACACAGCCTTGCCTACCCAAAAGACATTCCCCTCCTGACTAGAGTGGATTGCAGTTTCGACGTCGCCTTAACTGGTCTCATT